ATTTCGCAGCATTTATGGGCTTTAGCTTGGGGCACCTTAAGAGACTTGAACCTGAAGCACCCGGTTTATTGTTCATTCAGCCCTGTGTTCTTTAAATATTCTTAGACGCTTTTTAAACATATTTGGCGCCACTTTTATTAATTTACGCGTTAAGGCATTGCCCAAATTTCAGATTCAGAAAAATTGCGTCCAATTATAGGTGAGTACCCTTGGGACATTTTTTTTTAGAGTAAAATGCTGGTATTTATATCAAACAAACATTCACCTGCCTATAACTCTAGGCTGTCGTTAGCAAAATTTAGCATAATTTATTCCTAAAATTGGCAATTTTTATCAAATTCACCTGTCCTAATACAATTAGGGGAATTAGACGAAAAACTCGTATATTTTTTAGTGCAAACAATCATTAGGCCATCAAACGACTGCAAACATATCGGACACTCCATCGTTATTTTTAAAATACTTCTTCCATCGTTTTACAAAGGAAGTTTCTTTTCATCAGAACGTTTCAGTTGATAGTAATTGCAACGGTTTTCAAAATTAATAGTGATATTTTTCATAAAGTTTCTTTGTTATACAAGCCGGTCAATGAGGTGGGCACATATTCAATTTCGGAGCATAATCTGCAGTCAAAAGTTTGCTAAGAACGAGAGCCATTACAATTCCTCAATCAATAAGAATTTTGTTGCTGAATTTGCGCGTTGTTGAATTGCGAAATGAAAAACCACGCTTTTGCATATTCGGACRTTCACAAATTTTAATCAATCGAATATTTTTAGGGCGGAACTTTGAATCCTTTTTCTTAAAAAGCAAACTTTTTAAGTCACGGATTAGTGAGAGTTCCTCACTCTTAGAACTGTAAAACACCAACTTGATTTATACTGAGAATTTTGCAAAATTTATGAATATTTCAGCAAACAAAAATTTGTCATCTATGAACATTTCGATCATTTTCATCAACCATCACAATCACCAAACTCTTAACAAAACAAAGTAAACTATTTTCTATAGATAAAAAAACTATTGCTACGGTACGACTCTCAACACACGTATAAAACCCAACAATTGTCGAGTGGTCCTCATATAAAATATGCTGCAAAAGCTTGTGTAAGAATCTTCTTCGACTCTTCTCATATGCAAGGCAACATTTTCAGAATTACTACAAAATTTAAAAGCATAGGGGACCGCCTTGTATGGTAAAGCCGATTAACTTCAATTACCCATTCTTAAAAACCAACTCATACATACATGCTGCACGAACTATACCTACTCAAAGCCATAAAACAATCATACAAACATTAACAGCACATAATTAAGTCTCTGGTTTTTAAACTGGCCCATGAACTAAGCAGGTAATTCATACCACTATTCGAGCGGAGACATTTAAACAATTCCGCTACCAGTATTTCTGAAACTATTTATCAATTTTCTTACATTGCTGTTTCCTCTTACTCACGTACTCATACCGTATTATTATCTCGGGGGAAAAAACCGGGGCTCGGTAAATAGTTTCGCCCTGTAGCTATATGCGCCCGACAGAGCCGAACTTGCCTATATGAAGCCCAATGAAAATCAATCAATTTCGTTAACCATTATTCACTCAGAAGCTGACGAAAATATTCGTTCCAATTTGCAATATTCTTTCGAAAAAATCGCATTTGCAGCTTTTCACTTAGTGAGAGATATTCTTGGAAACAAAGCAGCAACTCCCCCCCGTTAGGCCCTGGTTCCGCAATCATAGCTCTACAAACCACGAAGACTATAATAATCGCCCTGCAAGTGACACGCAAATCTGCTTATAGATATATATTTTCAAATAATTTATTTATTTGTCTTGGCTGCGCCGGGATAATTGCATGTCGAGGAAAAGCTACTAGAAATTATTTTAATTGCGTCCAGCCTGATTATGGGCTTCTGCAGATCTTCCCATATGCCAGGGGCTTATCCCTATGATATATCTTTTGTTAGGAGCAGTAGGAATCATATGTGAAGCTGGTGAGCCAGTGGCGTAGCTTTGACATTATTTTTAAGGGGTCATCGGCATTCATTCAATTAGCAGAAAATGATAAGCGCGATTTTAAAATAATTGG